AGTAGCTAGTGCCATTCTTGGTTACTAGTTGCTAATATGAGCGGGATATAAATTATTTGTTATTATTATTATTGATTTTCTATTATCACTAGAAGCCGCACAGACCTTCTATCTACACACAAACCAACTAGCAATTGTCATTAATTATCTAATCCTATGAACCAGTGTATCCCTAATTCATAATTCGTGTAACAACGAGTAAGTTACAGCTTGAATCGCTGGTGTTTATTTGTCTAAGTTGCTATACAAATTGTACAACACATAATTGACCAATATAGCTTCCAGTATGCTGTTTGATAGCGATAACATATTCGAGATTATGTTATACTAGTGTAACCAAGGCCTACGTCCGGGACTTCACTATCGGAGTTGAAATGCAAAAGTAACTTAACAATGTATCGATCGTAGGCATCATGAAGAAGAGTCTGTTTAGATCTTAGCACTATTCCTTGGCTAACACACTAAAGATTATTAATATAATAGATGCTATTGTTTTGTCTGACGAGCCTGTCGCTCCCTAATCTTAAACTATACTATCAAGCTAGTTAACGAATTTCTGACATCTAAAAGCCCTGCAAATACATTATCTTTCGCCGCGATTTTGCCTAATTTGAATTGTCGCGGCGCCGCGATTTTTGGCCTAAATAATCGCGATTTTCTTTTGTCCTTGATGAAATAGGAAAAAACTAACAGTTCTTTGAATCGTTTTTGAAACTGTGTTTGAAAATGATCTCTATTGCCAAATTGCTTCTAGGCCTTCTGTGTGGGCAAAATCATCAAGAATTTTGGCTGCGGCAAACATATCTTCAATTTCTGTCTGTGCGAAAGTTTAAGTTGTATGCACTCTACATTTCTCAGGTATGGTTGCCTCAACTCTGCAAGGCACATATAATAATTTGTGATAACTAAGACAGATGGTGCAAGCTGGCCATGTTTTACTTGTGGGTCATTTTGTAACTGGGTTGTAGGAGAAAGCCATTTTGTAACACACTATTTTGAAGGGCTTTATTGTAGATTTTAATGTGGCCAAGCAAAAACGCAAAACATTTTCTGGGGCCTAGCTCCAAATGCTTAAGAATTGTCCTGCTTTACTTGCCGACATTGCGAAAGTGGAAAATTCGCGAGCGAAGCGAGCGGGCCACAAAAAGCAGAAAATTTGTATCTTCGAGGAAATTTTTAACTTTCTGGATGTGGGTCAGCGTGACTGCGTTGTCAAAAATCAGTATTTGGCCAATAATTCCAAAATTTTTAAATCAGTCATTCTTGTTGCATATAAATGTGGCCATTGCGGTTAATTTTAGCCACCCATTTGTGAAATTTTATTTCACAAATGGGCGTGGCCAGGACGGTAAATTTTTTAGTCTGATTTTTTGGTCGTATAAAAACCTTGGGGAGGCCCCACAAATTTTGAGCCCTCTACTACGAAATGTGCATAAATTAATGGCTCAAATGCTTATCTTACGGTGATCTAGGGGTAAAGACTAAAGTAAGGGTCTCACTTGAGGGTCTTACTTTTCTTCGAAAGGGTCAGGGGCCCCTTTCCAAGAAACGTAAGACACTCCAGCATTACCACTTATTGCCAATTATTCGAGGAAAAGTCTTCTCTTGGAATCACGACTCAAACGAGTTCTGTAGAATACTTGAAAATAATTGTTCTACCAGAATTGTTCATATTAATAAATTAAAAATCTAATTAATCTAGGCAGAAGAATGCCCTATATTAAGCATCCATTGACGGGCTCAAAGACAAGCCAAAAGATGCCTTAATGCTTTTAACGTAGTTACCATGGTACCGTGTTAAAGTTGTATTGACTTCCCCCCAATAGCCCTCTCTCATTAATACTAATTGAAAATTATGATTATAACGTCAAACGTACCAATGCAATGACCGGCAGATGATTTGTAGATTATCCTATTATGGGAAACTCACAGCTAATCTTAGAGATCCTATTAAAATCTTATCCCATTAAAATTTTAATTCTATAACTATGGGTTCAATTATGAATTTTAATACTAGACACTGTCTACATAGTGTCAGGGTTGATCAAAATTAGATTCATCAAAAATATAAAAAATCAATATTCTGTACAATTTTCAGTGTTATTTTTCAAACACGATAAACTTTCAAAACATTTACATCTCGAAATTTTCTCCCGCTAACCCTCTTAAAATCATTCTCCATGAATGATTGAGTTCTAGCACAGTTCCAATAACCGTCCAATTCGCACAAGATCTAACGAACTCGCCAGCCCTTTAACCTTAATTGCTTGCCCTGATAAGCTCGGTTATAAATAATTGGGTCAGCAGTCTTAATTTTCATTTCCTGGTCAATCACTCCATTGAGAGCTCTAAATTTAGGAATCATTTTTCTCGGTATTATCTTTGCTCGGACTCATTTTCCCCGGTATATTTATATATATACATTTTTCCCGGTATTCGCCGCATCGCAAGTTCAGGACACAACAAGGTACACACAGGAGCCTACCGAACGTGGACGCGCATTTGTGATTTGCACGTGCTATTTTACACTACTATGGTACAGGAGTGCCGATTCTGTAGGAAGCAATTCCGGACTGACGCTGAGAAAAAGGAGCACGATAAAAAATGTCAGTCAGAGTAAGTTTTTAAACTTTTTTCAAATATTTTTCAAATATTTTTCAAATTCTATAATAATATATTAAGGCTGTTTATATAGTTGCAGCGTTTATGGAACTGCATTTAAATCTGGAATACAGTAGGTTTAAAATATTTCGCATAATAATAATAATCTGTAATAATTGAGTTTTTATATGTGACAACGTAATATGTTTTTAGACTCTCTTACTACTTCCTATGTGATACTGGGATTAGTTTATTATTATTTACTATATTAAAAATTATCGTAAATAAGGATTAACCTTATATTTCAGCAATGTAAAAATACTCAGAACTCAAGAACAACGTGTATGTTTTCAGGCGTCACAAAGCAGACAGGTTCGAACAGTACGTGCAGAGGCTAGGCTACGCTAACTACAGACAGCTTGCTCAGGAGGCCATCAGAAAGATGGGAGCTCATGCTTCTGTTAACAGTTTATTGGAATGTGTAATCCAGATGGAGAAGAAGAAGAATCCAGGCGGGGGTAAGAATGGTAGCGGCAGTGGAAGCAGCAGTAGCAGCGGAAGAAGATAACGGTATTTGTGGGAAACTGTTTTTTAATTATATAACAAACTTCTTAGGAAACTGATGAGCATGACCTTATTTGAGAATAAAATATTTTACGAATTTCACTATTTTTCGAGATAGTATTTCAGCATTTTCTGATAGCCAGGTCCGGTTTTGTTTGTAAAGTTTCGGACTTTAGCTTAACTTTCGACTTTAAGCTTTGTAGTACTACACAAAGCTGCTTGAAAATGTTTAGAGATACTGATTGAATAATTTTTTTAAATGTGTTCTTTTTAATTGATAAATCAATCAGCTGTATCGTGTTATTTAACAATTAACATTTTAGTCAACTCAGCCGAGTCAACCACTCGCTATCATTCTATTTATCTTTAGTATTCAGACTAATTTGAGTGAATCGGATTCTTTGATAACCAAACAAAAAATGTAACATTTACTTCTTTAATTCTTTAAACACTCCAGGTTCTCGTGTTTTCTAATTACATGGTTATTTTTTCACAGAAGGCTATTTATTAATATTATAGGTTATTGATTTAACTAGGGTTATTTATTGCAGTATGAATTAATGTTTGATATTAAATTGAATTGAATTGAAAACAAAAATGTGGGGTTTTCATTAACAGAATACAAATGTTAACAGATAAAGGTGTTATGTATTATTTTATAATTCTAGAAACATATAATTGTTTTGCTGAGTTAAAAACAATATTAATGCAAATTATATCGTTATCGCAAATCAATGAATAAGAGAATAAAACAGATCTTGGGTCCAATGGAATCATCATCTTGAAATATATGGGTTGAAGAATATCACCCACATTTTTGACACATCTCGTCATCATCTCGTCTGATCATTTGGAGTGGCAAATGCTCCAAATGAATTTAATGGGGTGTTAGAAATAGAGAGGCTTCAGGAAGAGAATTTATTTAGTTATACTGGAAAGATTGAAGATGACGTTTTGGGGGGGGGGGGGGGGGGGGGGGGCCTGACGTTTCACTTTTCAGAAGAACGGTAGAACCCTAATATTCCCTTTAAATGATGACATCTTCGTGATTATGGTGGCAGTATCATGACAGATTGTTCACAGTAAAATTTATCACCATTATCTTGCATTCAAATTTTAGCAAAAATACACTGCATATAAAAACTTAAAAAGTTCCCTCGAACCAGATTTGAACTGGTGACCTAAGGATTACTAGGGTTGAAACCATTACAGTCCTCCGCTCTGCCAACTGAGCTACCAAGGGTATGCATCTCCAGATGTATATCTCTGGTAATTTGCGGTAAGTTGCTCTCAGTCGGATTCGAACAGATAAGCCCTGTTGTTTGAAATTCTGTGTAGACCTTTACTATACACCACCTGGCAACCACAGGGCCAGCAATTCCAACAAGACAATTACATTGTAGTGAGACATCGCAAAAAAGTGTTATAATCAGATATTCTATATTTATATAATTCATCTAATTAGATGGCGAGATTGTTATTGATATTTATAAGTGCTCGCTCACAAATAGATAAGAAATGTGTTACATGTTATGTTACATAAATTATAAACTTGCCTACAGAATCCTAGGTGTGATAAACGATTATATCTCTAATCTCTAATCTCTAGATAAACATGTTCAAATACCACGTAAACGTTGGCTATTAGCTGTAAAAATAATTAGCTGTAAAAATGGGGAATATTTCAGCCATTCTCTTTTATCTAATATCTACGCATTACGAATCTACCAATCGAATATTTGACTAATAACCGTGACATGATAGGCCTTATAATAGTCAATTAGCTAATCAATATGATAGTCGCGTAGTCGGTTATTTAATTAATTGTACCGCAGATATTTGACGAGGTCTGGGACGAGCTTCCAACTCAGCTTCAGGAGCAGAAAGATGAGTTTATCGAACACTGCGCTAAGTACGGAGAAAACTACCCGCTAGAGAGTTTCGAGGATATGAAATAACTTGTTGATTTGACGGGATATCGCCTAACTTCACAGTTGAACTTAACCACTGAACTTCATAGCTGAACTTCGCAGCTAGCTGGCATTACGCATGCTTTACCGCATGTAACAGGATTTTAGAGTAGGATCTTTAAATGAATAACTACGCAATACGGGCATGTTACAACTTCGGCTTAATTTCCTTATATAGTTTTAATGGCAGAAACCAAACCGAAACCAAGTTATTGTCCAAATATTTGAGATTGGAACTTGAAAGGCTGTAGAAGACTAGGGGAAACGCTCCCTATATGGTCACTTACTCACTTACTGTCGTCTTTTGTTTGGGTTAAAAATAGCTTATATATCCTTTAATGATCATGTTTAACTGACTTGGTATCTAAAGACCGCATTTTCATATTTTTAATATTATAGTTGTCAAAGAACTTTGTCGAGAGCTTCGCATGACATTTAAGGAAGTTTAAGGACGTTTGTAGTGTTTTTTCTTAGGTGATTTATTATCGTTATTTACTCAATTTAGTTAAGTTATTGTAGATGTGCTTTTTTGAGAAGTTGTTTTATTACATCCTTTAGTTTTGGTTGCTTAATAAATTATACTTTATTTTTTGACGATTACTACCCCGTTTTAAATCAAAGGTATGCCTTAAATATTAATCATCCAGTTTGGTGTCATCGTAAATATTTGCTAGTTAATTTTAAGATTTTTTATCAGATAGCTTTTTTGAAGGTATTTAAAATATTTATATTGCATGTTTTCAAAGGTTTTTTTACCTGTGCTTGTGAAAAAGAACATTTTTATAGTTTCACTCGAGAGTCGTAGTTAATTTAACAAAATAGACTTCAGAAAAGTTATCACTAACTGTGCCACATTACGTAGGATAAGTAAAATAGACGTACAAAAGTTATTAAGTTTTAATACAATTAATAAAAATATATATATTATTATTATAAATAGATTTAGATATTGATTGCATTTAATTCATTAACATCTTTAATCTGTCATATTCGGCTGTAACCACAATTTGTAATTATCACGCATAAAAGTACCTCTACTAATAAATAATTATATTTCATTGTATTGAACAAATAATCCTCGGTAAATGCTTCTCGCCAAATGAAGAGTGAAGACCTTATAGGGTGCCATATATATGATATTGTGATTTCTGTTTTACCCAATGAAGCATTATCGTAGACATTTAAACGCACAAATGAGTTCAACCTTTGACGTTATTTGACACTAAAGTTAAATATCTTCCGAATATTCTTCATTCGCAGCGTTACTTGAAGTGACTTCCCGAGAAATTGTCACTGTTTTAAGCAATTATAGATCGTCGTCATCGTGGCAGAATATGTATTTAATATTATCTTACTCATTTAAAGATGTTTCTCATTATACCTTCACTCTCAATCTAGCAAATGTGTTAGGGAGACAAGATATAAATGGGCGACACACCAAAGGGAATACTGCGATCTGTAGTGGAGATAGAAACTCAACCTAAGTAAGTTATTTTTTATTTGTTCAATGTTAAAGGTCTGTATTTGATTCGTCTCGTTCTAAGCCTCAGCGAGGTAATTATAAATTTGATGGCACTAATTTAGTTACAAAGGTCTGTTTAACCAGGAGGGATCGCTTCTCTCCTATTCTGTAACCTTAACCAATGTACCGTATTCAATGTACCGTATTCAAGGTACCGTAACCAAGGTACCGTAACCAAGGTACCGTAACCAAGGTACCGTAACCAAGGTACCGTAACCAAGGTACCGTAACCAAGGTACCGTAACCAAGGTACCGTAACCAAGGTACCGTAACCAAGGTACCGTAACCAAGGTACCGTAACCAAGGTACCGTAACCAAGGTACCGTAACCAAGGTACCGTAACCAAGGTACCCTAACCAGGCCAAGGTACCCTAACCAAGGTACCCTAACCAAGGTACCCTAACCAAGGTACCCTAACCAAGTTACCCTAACCAAGGTACCCTAACCAAGGTACCCTAACCAAGGTACCCTAACCAAGGCCAGGTACCCTAACCAAGGTACCCTAACCAAGGTACCCTAACCAAGGCCAAGGTACCCTAACCAAGGTACCCTAACCAAGGTACCCTAACCAAGGTACCCTAACCAGGCCAAGGTACCCTAACCAAGGTACCATAACCAAGGTACCCTAACCAAGGTACCCTAACCAAGGTACCCTAACCAAGGTACCCTAACCAAGGTACCCTAACCAAGGTACCCTAACCAAGGTACCCTAACCAAGTTACCCTAACCAAGGTACCCTAACCAAGGTACCCTAACCAAGGTACCCTAACCAAGGTACCCTAACCAAGGTACCCTAACCAAGGTACCCTAACCAAGGTACCCTAACCAAGGTACCCTAACCAAGGTACCCTAACCAAGGTACCCTAACCAAGGTACCCTTACCAAGGTACCCTAACCAAGGTACCCTAACCAAGGTACCCTAACCAAGGTACCCTAACCAGGCCAAGGTACCCTAACCAAGGTACCATAACCAAGGTACCCTAACCAAGGTACCCTAACCAAGGTACCCTAACCAAGGTACCCTAACCAAGGTGCCCTAACCAAGGTACCACTTAGTGCACTAAGTGCAGTAATTATACAGACTGTGTCGGGCCGATGATTTGTAGCTATATAAAAGGGGATCATTCCAAAGCTGTACCAGTTTATACCATGATAATATCGCCAGCTTCATTAGTTCCCAGAACCTGCACCTTCTGAACAACAAGCAGTATATTTAATGCAGTCTAAGTGAGCTATATAATGAACTATCTGGACTCTGGTCTCAGTACATTTACGTAATGTACTTAATTTGTTGTGGTTATTTATTGTGACAGTCACTAGCTTTTGAGCCTTTTATGGATCCGTATTTTGTGTTAGTTATTCCAAATTAATATCTCTCTCTTAAGCAGTCAATCAAAATCTATTCAAATTTTGTTATCTAACCTTGTAAGGACATATCGCCTATCGGGGACATGCCCGTTTGGCAACGAATCATAAATAAAGTTCCAGGAACGCGAACGACACACGATTCAGTAGTATACAATATGGCGCAGATAACTAGCGCGCTAACGCGCGCGCGCTTAGATTCGATCGGATGTGACATCGGCCGTTTATTTAACAGATTATATTTCAGCGATCGAATAGGGCAAAATTATTCACTATTTGAGATATTCATTGTTCATGAAGACGGAACATTTTGTCATTAATCGATAGCGTTTGAGAAATATAGACATCTCAGTCGCAGACTCGCACATCAATGATGTTCCCCACAGCTAATGTAACTATCGATAACGGACTAATACTCATAGGATAGTGTGCCGGAAGGAAGGGTCTTATATTTTCTTATTTACATACCCTAATTACTATTGGTATGTTGGTGGTGTGTCAAAGCTACGTCGGGTTTTTACTTTTTACTGTTCAACGCGAAGGAACCTGCCTATTGATTATTGAACCTATTGAAGGGTGCAAGAAAATTAAAAATATTTTTGCAATCAAATCTTTTAACAATAAATCTCTGTCAGATAAATATAAAACAATTATTAAAATGTTCCTCAGAGTACCACCACCGGTCACTTGGGATGAAGAAAATATAACATTGACGCTCCACCCGGCCGATAAGGACTATGGTCACATGAAGATAGACGAACCTCCGACCCCCTACGAGTATTATAATGGTAATTAATTAATTGCAGGGGGCCATGGTTACTCGTTACCATGGTTACTTACCATGATATTTTCTTGCTATTTCTGTTAAAACGATATGATTCGGTGAGAAAATGTTTTTCATGCGAGGACTGCATGAAAACATATATAATACATGTATAGTGTATACTGCACAGTGTGCCCAGAGGCTGCAAAAAGTATTTTGGGTGATATTTGCTTTCCAGATAAGTTTAGCCTGATCTGATCAGAAATAATCTGAATTTTCTAACAAAAAAAGAATTAAGGGGCTATCATTTTTAGTTTTTGAGATATTTTGAATCATATACACCAAATTGGTATGAAATTTATGAATAAAATTCAATAGGATAAGAATTAATGGATGAATTGGTCGCATATAAACTAGAATAATAATCTCTAAACATGTCTAAAACCATAAACATTGTTTTTCATCATTATTATATGGAGTTAGGGGCCAGATCCAATAAAAATTGGGTTAAAAATACGAAATTTCGATTTTTGCAGGCAAAATTCGATGTTTTCATCATTTTTGAAGGACAAAATTTCGTTCGCATGGTACCAAAGTTCAGAATCAACTTCCAGATCGCAGTTTTGGGAACTATTAACTAAGTTATTTGTTATGCCTGATACCTTACATTGACAGAAAAAACATAATGGGGAACCCAAATTTGTCATCTGACACCTTCCCATGGCCATAAGTACCCCCAGCTTCCCTCAAAAAATTTGACTGCCAAAATATGGGGATATCACTATTTTACCCTTAACTAATCTTGGGGGCAGTTTTAGAGTCTCCACATGTGTTTTAAAGTAACCTTTAGGTATGGTTATGCCTAAGAATGACTATTTGGGAACTATTTTCAGCTACTGCCCTAAAATTTTGGTAATTTTATTGAAATTAGGGTCCTTTAAAGTTAAAAAAGGGCTAAATGTACCATTTTTAGACCTTAAATTGCAAAAATAATGATTTCTGAACTGTTTGAGAGCATCAAGATTGCTTTTTAAGTGTTTTTGGTCATTGTAAGGTCCGGAAACACTTGTTGAGGTGATTTAAAGGCTTCAAAAAATAAAATATCAGCAATTTGGGGCTAAATTACCTTATTTTGTAAGCGCGTAACTCAATTTAGCTCAAAATAACATTGTTTTTGTCCCAGAAAATTCGAATTTTGATCAAAAGCTATGTATGGAGGTATCAAATGAAAGCTCTTGATAACCTCTTTCCATTTAAAACACAAAGAAGTAGTTTATAATTGATATAAGTGATAAAATGGTCTAAAAATGGAATCAAAAAGTCCTAAAATTCACAAAATTTCTGTATAATCTTAAACCTTTGATGGCCCATAAAAAAATCATGCCACAATATCACACTGTAAATTTTTCTGAGATTACTCTAAATATCCTATACTAACAGATATAATAATAGCGTAAATTATGGATGCTCACCAAAGTGAATTTGTCACTTATTTTTGTAATTTGTTCAAAAATATGGCAAAAAACGGCAAAAAAATGTAATTTTACACAAAAAATCAGGTTAAATCAATATATGAGGTCAAAAATCCTTCTAATCATCTTGAAAACCCCTTTAAACGATTTCTCATGCAATTTTAGGGTGGATAGGGTGGTTTTAAATTGAAAATAGGCTGGTTGAAGAAAAAAACTGACTTTTTGCAGAAAATTGGGCTCGCGGGCACACTGTGTACTGTACAGTAAATATGCAGATTAGGTTACTAACATTAACCCCTTTATCACGGTGTACACTTGGTTGTAGGATTTAGAAACCGAACTGATCCTATTCTGACTGTGAGTAGATGGCTAGGGGACCGGTTGGTAGCATTAACAAGGGGTTTCATCTCCAATCAGTCCGTCTGCAACTAGTTTTACTGAGTCTTGGTTCTTTTTCAAAACGGGGATTTTCCCAAAATACGCTATTTTCAACCACCAAATAGCACCATTAAGATGGCCCTTCTCATACTTCTTCCTGGCTAAGTGACACGTTATCCACAGCACTATTATTGTTATTATTGTTAGCACTGATATAATCGCAACTATAAACATTATGCTGGCGTGCTCGGTGCCCATTTGTGTGGACGGACTTGGTTTTCTGTTGTTCTGGGCGGCTTCTATTGTTGGAGATCTCATTTCACAGCAGGGGCTTCTTGAGTTGCTTAGTGGTTACTAGAGGTTACTAGGGGTAATCTGTGGTTAATATAGTTGCTTAGCAGGGCTGCTTGAGTTGTTTAGTTTAGATTGGATCCAGTTTTTAGTGTTGTTCTTCACTCCTCAGTGTTATGTGCCTTAGTGTTACATCCTGAAATAATTGTGTTTGTTTACTGTGTATGAATTAAAATTCGGTGTGTTAAAACAATGTAGAGAGATTATATAAATGCATGTCTTTTTTGTTGAAATATAGGATGCATTTAGGGAGACAGCCTGGTTGAAATCGCTTATTAACCGACATTTAAACTGCTCGGCAGAACTAACAAAGGAAGTAAAAGCTAAGAAGCGTATTATTTTTGTCTCGAAATGATATCTGGGGACTAAAATCTAAAGATATCAAAGTTAGTCGTCAAATCGGCGAAGGATTACAACGGCGGAAAGAGCAAACCATTACAAAGATATCTAATATCCTGTTCTTAATTTTAAATGTTGTTAAAATACTCATGACCCCCCCCCCCCCCCCCCCCCCCTATTACATGAAATTAATGATGAAGTTTATATTAGTAACCGGTCAAAATCTCAAAACTGACATTTAAACTGACCGAAGCTTCAAAAAATTCAAAAAATGCACAACAAGGAAGAACATTTGTTTGTTTAATGTTAAACATCGCTCTGTGCTCATTTTCTGTCCTCTGTTAATGATTGTTTTTCGTAATATTTCTGACATTGGACATGTTACTTCCGAGTTCCGTGGCACACTACACGTTACTATATGGTAACGTATCGTTTTTACTTAATACATTTGACAGCACTGTACAGTTAAGTTTAAACTATATTATAGCCTGTTGATATTAGTCTTGAAGCCTGAATAAAACGAAAAGACATGGATTTGCAATCCATACAAAGTATTGGCGTCTATCACCAGTCCAAAAATAAACATTTTCACTATACAAATCTTTTAAACCACCGCGTTCTAGAAGCCTGTACTAGTTAGAACGGCGTACTCAAAGCGAAAACGGAAATAACAGATTTAGTAATATGAGTGTTACATTGTGTTACATTGTCATGAAAGCCAGGTGATCCAACTTAAATCACAAGTCTCCTCACTGTAATCAGTAATTTGAGACATCTTACACCACATATTACATTACACTGATAAGCTTCATCTTGTCTGGTAGATAGTTTACATCTCCGTGACAATAGAAACACACTCTCTCTCTCTCTCTCTCTCCCTCTCTCTCTCTCTCTCTCTCTCTCTCTCTCTCTCTCTCTCTCTCTCTCTCTCTCTCTAGCTGTATTAGATCCTTAGTTACACTCAATCGCTCCGTGTTGAAAAGGAGGAACACTTCCGTTGCCATGGAAACGCGGAAGTGTAACGTGAAACTGGAAGAATGGTAGACGCGGTGAGTTGTCATGGCAACCTTACTGAATACCATAGTAACACGCGGTTACCTCGCCTGATAACAGTTGCCTCTGTCTTCGCCGTGTTATTGACAGAGTTCATTGCTATATACTGTTTCAGGAGTTCTTCATCAGCACCAGTAATCACAAGATTTTATTTTTAGAAGCGTTTAACAGTTAATGCTCCTGTTTGTCCAGTGCTATTGTCTGTGTTGTTCACGTGTCACTCCACTAGTAGTGTAACTATGGTAACCACACTTCACGTGCCACTCCACTGTTGACAGACAGAGGAGCGGAAAGTTTTCGGGAGAACTTTTAAAATGAGCCAAAGTTTCCGCTTGTGAATTGCAAAGAAATGGGTTTTCACGACAAGCTTTATCTCTAGTACTGTTATAGTCACTACATTGCGGTATTGAAAGTAAATTTTTGTTGCTCACGTAATTTGTGTTTGTTCGCTTTTTGCTGATTTCTAAAATTTTATGATTACCTCTTGTAACATTTTACTGATTTGCTTAATAAGTCAGGGTTGTGACGTCATCTTTAGTCCTTGTACGTACAATGACTATATTTTTTTGCCTGATTACTGCATTTCGAGTTTGATCCTATGTATGATCTCATTTTTGGCAACTTTCTTCTTTCTTTTTTTTCAAGATAGCGATATTCTTCCGTAACTACAATTTCGTTAGGATGCACAGGTGCTGGCTTACGTAAGTAAACTAATTTGTTGAGGACTCCATGCTCCCCCCCCCCCCCCTTCCCTCCCCTCCCCTCCCGCGGCCCACCACTCCATGGCTGATGTCTTTTATCTAGATCGACAATATTTTCTAGACCCAAATACACAACACGACTTATAGTTTCATAACGGTTGAAAAATAATTAAACAAGAGGGACAGAAAATACTATGAATAACAAATCTTGTTTTATAATACATAAATGACAGCAATGAGGCATTCATCTTTTTAGGCCTGACAAACGAATAATTAACCAAAAAAGGGCAGAAAAGATTTCAAAATCAAAATATTATTTTATGAAGTATGGCCATAGTAACGGAAATAGTCTAAATCAATCATGAAATACAAATTTTTGTACGGAATAACACTTCTATAATTAGTCTATCAATGATCAGCTCAGCTTCCGGGAAATCTGCTGCTTAAAACTGTAATATTTAATCTTATCTCACAAATTATAACTGTTTTACTTGGCGGTTTAAGGAAATCAACGAGTTCTACAGAAATATTACTAACTGAGCAGAACGGTTTCTGGAACTATTGAAATATTCACTGATCTGATAGTCTCGTATGTGAAGCACCGAAAGGTTATTTATTTTTGGCTGCTTACCAAAAAAAATTTGGTCCAAGACAAGGTGTACGAGTTTTATGACCTTAATGTTATTATTACTTTATTATCCAGATAATGTGTACATAGAAATTAGGACGAC